TGTCGCAAGGCAGAGAAAATTTGACAGTAACTGATGCAAACGGATTAAAATCTTTAATGAGATTCTACAAAAAAATGCTCTGCATGAGTTGGAGTGAATATATATATATATATATATATATATATATATATATATATATATATATATATATATATATATATATATATATATATATATATATATATATATATATTCCTTATTACAACAAATGCTAAATGATCTTGCAGATCAGCACTGAGAACAGGAAAAAAGATGAGGCATTGAGTTTTCTGTTTCCATAAACATATTGATCAGGCATTGCATCAGGGCTTTCAAGATGCTGGTAGAAGTAATTGCTCCTAAACCTCGCAGAGATCCATATGAAGCTCAAGCTGCTATGAAAGAAATAAGCTCTCCTTCAACTGAACACTTTGTAACTTTTTACTGTTTTAAACCAGCAATTTATAGCAATCTGTAAAATATACAAACATATGAAATTGTTATTAGAAACTTGTCAAACTGTTTTGCATATTTGAAGAATTAAGAGCTTCTTTTGTTCTTTTTTGGGAGCGTCGCAGTGAAATGGTAATTAAAGTTGCGTGCAAAAATGCCACCCTTTCTAAAAATGTTTCCAGTTTTATGCAACCACAAATTTTAGTGCATGCTTTTAGGATTTTCTTATAAGCTGAGCAGAAAGGCCAATGTTAAATGTTAAAGGCCAATGGCATGCATTTATATTTAGACCTTTTTACTCTGGTAACCTTAAATGAAATTCAGTGGAACCAACTGATGCTCTACAAAGTTCTCAGACATTATTAAATAAATCATCAATTATCATGAAGACAAATGAATGATTGAGGCAGGTCTCACAGATGGAGTCAAACTCTACACTTTATATCTGATAAGACAGCTATTTATCATCATCTTAATTTTTCACACAGCTGTACCAATTTGACAAAATCCCAATTTCTACGGTTTCGTTATAGAAATCTGTAAAAGTTAATTCGATGGAAGAATATCTTTTCTCCTCAACCCAGTTTAAGGTGTGGGAGAGCAGTTTTTGTAGTTTTGACATTTCCCACCTCCACAGGTTCTGCTGCTTGAGCTTTGACTTGTCCTTCCTTATTTGTTTTACAACAACTCTTTCAAAGCGACCAACCCTCATCACACCTTTCATTCCTCACTCTGGAAATTTAATCAAGTAAGAAGAGGAAGGCTGCAATCCATTTTCTATTTTTTAGGTAAAGCATTCTGGATGACAATAAGTTCCTTTGCCAGAATGAGAATGACTCTTTATTCAAATGGCTAAACATTAAAGTTTTTGTGATTTATAGTGATGTGATAAACTACACTGAGGCAGGCCTGGTTATTTTATTTATTTATTTATTTATTTTACATATTTGGATGCTTAAAATTTAATGAAAATAAATAGTAAAGTTAACTGCAAGATTAAGAAAATGATATATGAAATGTAGCATACAAAAA